CTTTCTCCCGTCGCCTTGGCAAAGGGCTTTCCGCCAGCGCATCCGCGGCGGGCAAGAAAAGGGATGCTCGCCCTGGGTTCAGATGTCTTTTGATTTCCGAGGGGATTTTAAATTGCTAAATAAGCCCTTCTAATGAAAATCCCGGAGGCTGCTGGGCCTGTGGGGTTCAGCCTGTCGTATTGTGCCAGCTGTAAGGCGCTGGCCATGCCCTCAGCCATCTCCTCTCTGCGTGGTTTTAAAAACACGATGGGATCGATTGCTTGTGTAAAAGTCCACTGTCTTTTGTTTTTGTTTTAGATGGTGGATGTTGATGTTTGTACGGGTGGAGATAGTACCAGAAGAAAAATGGATGCCCTGGCAGATAGTGCGGTTGAGATTGTCCCTTTGGAGCTCTATGATTCAGCCAGAGCAAAAATAGCTGCTAATCTACAATGGATCTGTGCTAAAGCCTACGGAATAGGTAAGATCACTTTTATCAGGAGGTTATTCTTGGATTTGTTCTTGCTATTTTTCTGTCTCTCTTAGCTTTTCAGAAGTAATTAAATTGGGCTCAAATCACCTTTGTTTTAAATATCATCAAATGATAGTCTGTGTTTTTGTAATGTTTAATGTTTCCTGGTACCTTCGACAGGAATAATGGAGCTATATGAGATGCCCTGAATCAGCAAACCTAGTGGTGAACACTCACAGACTGTGCTTGTGAAGAATGAATACCTCAAAATGTTTAAATCCTCATTTTAGTGAAGTAGACTTTCTTCCACAGAACTGTGTGGCTCTGCTTGCAGGCCCCAGGTCCATGCAGGCTGTGGGGCCTTTAGTGGGCTTCCTTGTCTGGTCACCTCGGCCAGCGGATGCATAGACCTTGATGCCCTTTGTATGCTCGGTTAGGACTGGGTTTGTTTTGGTCAGATTGTAGTTTTGGTTTCACAGTGAGCTAAAAAGCAATCTATTTATGATCAGCAGCATTCCTTTATATATAAGACATGCTGAACAAACAGGTACAGTTTGTGTTCTGTGACATTAAACAGCAAGTTACAGGTGATAGAGGAGCTCTTCCTTCCCTTATGTTGTCATAAACCTTTACAGTCAAAACATGAAAAAATAAAGATTCTTGGAGTATCATTTGTACAGTGTTTTCCTGGCATCTAATGAAATTTGCTCTTTTGTTTTGAACTAGATCTGTCTGTCTGTTCTGAATTACTGTTACTGGATACGTCTTGAGTTTAAGTAGCTTCATTATGAAGAAATATGATGGAATACTTGCAAGTTTTAGTTTATCCAGAACAAAAATAATGAAAACATGGTCAGAATCTTGTTTTGGAAAATGAGGTAGCCCTGTTAATCTAAGTCTAATTCACCAAACTCATAATATGCTTAATGGATTAGCACTAGCTTACTGTGTGACAAGGCTGAAGAAAAGCAGTCCATTCCTGCACTTAAATATTAATCCTTGTTGGAATATTTTTCCAAATTATTATTCTTTTTTAGTATTTCCAGCTCTGTCAGTGTGATAATAGTTGTAATGATTGTGGGGAAAATAGAAAATCATAGTTTTATACTGTTCAATATTAGTGAAGGTATTTCATTTGATGACATTTGAAAAACATGGTATTTCTGGGAGGGTGTTAGTAAAACATAACTTAAAGGAATATTTCCTCGTGTAAGTATTTTTCAGTTGGTGGAATTGTTTGCAATGTTTCCTGAAGGCTTTTAGCAATCAGGGATAAAATGGATATTCCAGGCATGGAGATGCACTGTTTATATTATGACTTTGTTTCAAAATATTTCATTACAAGCAACAAGAGACAATCCCCATTTATCAGATGACATTTGAAAAACGTGGTATTTCTGGGAGGGTGTTAGTAAAACATAACTTAAAGGAATATTTCCTCGTGTAAGTATTTTTCAGTTGGTGGAATTGTTTGCAATGTTTCCTGAAGGCTTTTAGCAATCAGGGATAAAATGGATATTCCAGGCATGGAGATGCACTGTTTATATTATGACTTTGTTTCAAAAAGGAAAAAAAAAAGCTCATCCTAAATTAAAATGGACTGGCATGGCTCCTACGCTGCAGAGGAGCTTCATGGCCTCGTGTGTCTTAATAGTGTCTGCTGGGTCTCCACAACTCAGTGTTGGATCTGTACATCTTGGACCAGTTAACAGCAAGTCTGTTTATGCACTTGGCAGCACAAACTTACGTTGAATAAATACTTGGTTTTCTTTTGGCTAAAAATTTTGGAAAAGAAACCCACCTTTCATAATGACAAGGATGTGATCTCTAGCGCAGAGAAGTCTGTCGAAGCATTTGCCAGTTTTTCTGCTTGTATCTGGCCTTGTTCAGATTATATTTTAATAGAAGTTAAATGCCATGAACAGTAAATAATAGTAGTTTTGCTGGAGTTTCTGGTATTGTGTGGTTGCTGAGCTCCAGTGAGTGAGGGGTTTTGTGTGTGCGTATCTTTTCAGGACCATGGCCTATGGAAATTTAGTTTGATTTTGAAATGGCTCCTGCGAGGCGTTGTCATATTAACCATTACTTCTGGAATAGCATTGCAAAATACTTAGAAATTTATAAGCCTCTTTTAGTCACAGAGAGATGGATTTAAAAAGGTTTCTGTGTGATTATAATTTTGAATAATATTTGAACTTAATATATGTTGTCTCTGGGGTTTTTTGTGTAAAATACGGGGTGGTGTTCAGTGGCTCTTGGGCAGCTCCTAAGCAATTGTGCATTTGTTATTAAGAAAATCTCACTAGGCAGATGAAGGTTTTGGGGTATTTTTTATTATTTTTTTCTTAGTTCTGGTCATTTTGAGGGAAAAAATGCTGCTCTGTTTATAATATGAAAACACTGTCGTATGTTCTGAAATAACTCTTTATCAGGTAGGGTTTCTATAACTTCCTTCAAGTAGCTCAGTAAAAAGTATTTTTCCGTAGTGTTAGATTTGGAATTGACAAATGTGAATTGACATAATTTTCTGCCTTAATCTTTCAAATACTGGTGCATATCCTGGTTTTCATTTTCGTCTGTGTAAGGCTAAGCTCATGCAGTGTGCGAATGGTCAAGAACAGGAATTTGATTCTAGTGTAGACTCTTACTAGAAGTCAGTCATCACTGCAGGTTTTACCTGAAACAGTGTTTTCTATTTACTGTTACAGGATATTTGAATTCTTCACATCTAAGCTGGCATCTAAGTAGGAAAATTGATCATCCTTTCTTTTTTTTCCTCAAGGCCATATTACTGAGAGCGTGCCTGATGTGTAATTTGGAGTGAAAGTCCTAGTTTGGGCTCTGTTTCATTTGATGATGCATTCTTCCTTTTTTCCCCCCTTCTGGCCATGAAGAGAGAGAATTTTGGTAGCCAAACAACTGAGCACAGCTCCCTTCTGTCTTCAACACTAGTACTGTGAGAGAGACAACCCTTCTTCTTGCATGGGAATTGGGCTGATGAAGGGTTTGTTTTTGGAGGCCTGTAGCCACTCCTGTCTCTCTGTGGTGGCTGTGGTTGTCACAGTTGGGCTCCAGAGGGAGATCTCAACTCTTTGTCCAAATGCCAGAAGTCAGAGGGGAAGGATGATGTGAAGGAAGGTCTTTCCCATTTGGTGTAACCCCCCCCCACCCCCCAAATAAATCTGGGAGCGCTGTCATGGATCACACTAGAAGTCTCTGCACAAACATCTGGAAACCTTCTATGCACTTAAAAGATGATAAAGTCTGTTTGGCTGAGACAGTAGTTTGAGGGAATGGGATTTGATTAAAACAGAATTATCTTTTCCATCAGCAAACTTTGATTAGCACCAAATGCGCAAAATTCAAGGAATTTTACTGGCAGTGTGAAAACACGATTCATAACGTTTAAGTGGCCTAGGAGCAAGGGTGCCTCTGAGTTTGTGCAAGTTTAGTTCGCAGGAGGTGAGTGTGGGAGGTTGGAGAGGCTTGGCGAATCTGTCCATGGGAGAGCGCGCTTTTTCGCAGGTGGTGGCATGAACCAGATTGCCCGGCGGTGATGAGGCTGGTGGGTGGACCTGGTCCTTCAGTGCCACTGTCCCTCGGACTCCGAGCGACAGCAGTCAGAATGAACACAGCTGGTGCGTTTTCATTTGGTACGACTTGGGAAAATAGACAATGGCAGTGAAAAACTTTGATTTTTCAGCAGGTTTAGTTAGTACAGCATAAATGGATCTGTAGAAATTGTTATCCATCATCATGGGTATAATATTAAAATTTAGATATGGAAGGAGTATATGGAAGTTTTACAGTGAGCAAGTGGGTTGTTTGCAACCCCTTCCATAACAAATGTTGCTGCTGCTTTGAAATAGTTTGTAAAATTCAGATTTTTCAAAACAAACTTGGTGTGTTTTACTTATTTATTAGGGCTAGGAGCTCTTGTGAACCCAAGACAAGATACAGGCAGGAAAGCCAAATGCTAATGTGTTGTAGGGGAAAGGAAAGCTATGGCTTTTTTTTGCCTTTGAAGTACTTAATAGGGTTCAGAGAAGAGCCACAAGGATGGTGAGGGGTCTGGAGAACAAGCCTGATGAGGAGCGGCTGAGGGAACTGGGCTTGTTTAGCCTGGAGAAGAGAAGGCTGTGAACCCAAAACAAGATACAGGCAGGAAAGTCAAATGCTAATGTAATGTGTTGTAGGGGAAATGAAAGCTATGGCTTTTTTTTTGTCTTTGAAGTACTTAATAGGATTCAGAGAAGAGCCACAAGGATGGTGAGGGCTCTGGAGAACAAGCCTTATGAGGAGCGGCTGAGGGAACTGGGGTTGTTTAGCCTGGAGAAGAGAAGGCTGAGGGGAGCCCTCATCACCACCTCCAACTGCCTCAAGGGAGGTTGTAGAGAGGTGGGTGCTGGGCTCTTCTCCCAGGTGATGGGGGATAGAACAAGGGGAAACGGCACCAAGCTGTGCCAAGGGAGGTTCAGGTCAGAGATAAGGAGGAAGTTCTTTACTGAGAGGGTCGTCAGAAGCTGGCACAGGCTGCCCAGGGAGGTGGTGGAGTCACCATCCCTGGATGTGTTTAAGGAGCGGGTAGACGAGGTACTTAAGGATATGGTTTAGGGGGTAGACAGGAGCGGTTGGACATGATGATCTCAGAGGGCTTTTCCAACCGAGCCATTCTGTGATTCTGTGTGTGAATACCTGTTAAAGAAGGTTTTACAATACTGTAATAGCTACCCATGGATACTGGTGGGTAGGCAGTTGGTAGAGGCAGTGTGATCATGTTTCCTGGGCTAAATTTCCTAAATTCCTGGCTTCCCTGCTCCTGTTCTCTGTCTGTTTTCTTCTCAGGTCCGTAGTAAAAATATTTTTAAGAAAACTGCTGTGTTTTGCAAATATTCATAGTTAAACATTTGTTTCTTTAGTAATGTCTGTTTCATAAGCACTGAATATTGCTTGCGTGAAGTTTACGGGGGTGAAGAACTCTATAATTACTGTTTTGTCTCTTCTCCTTC